GACAGCGGCGCACTCCGAAAAGTTATGATGTTAACGTCATAATAATGTACAAATTGTGCTTCAACGTTACGCAGTCAATATCGGCGTCTGGGCGTTTCTAGCGATATCAAAAAAATTAATGAAAATGACGTCCATTTTTTAAAGAATTGCTTAAAATGCTATCCATAGAAGAAAACATGCGATGTTTTAGCGGGTTTTCTAACGTTAATTTTTTAGTTTTATTAAGAAATATACGAGGATTTACTGAGTTTTTCTACCGTTGCACTTGGGTGCCGTGTATTTTATTTGTGGTTACCGTGAATAATGTACTGGTTGCTGTGATTTAAACAGCTTTGAGCAAATAAAAACAAAACTCAGTAACTGTTAGGTTTAGGTCCCTTTTCTGGTTCTTATATTTGTGCAGTTCTTACAGTGCCACCAAAATGCCCTGTCAGAGGGGTATTCTTAATTAAGGTTTTCATTCTTTTTCTAAAATAAAACAAATTGCTAAAGGCCCAACTTAAAGATAAGTCAAGACAAGAGCTGTCACAGGAGACAGCGAAGCTCGACTAATAAAATACTGGACGCAGTAAGGAGGACAAAACTATGAAAGAAAAATGGGTCAAAGACAGAAAAGGCCGGGTTGCATTTGTACACCAAATATCATGAGGCTGTGATGTTACGAAAAGTTTTTTCCATTGACCCATTAATGTCGAAAATTTAATTCAGTAGGTAAACAGGAAGTGGATTTAAGCTTCACACCTAAAATCGAATCCCCCACAGTATGGGACCATGTGTCAATGCTGTATGCCAAATATCAAGAGGCTGTGATTAGTAGTTTCTTGAGAAAAATGTTTACGAAAATTTCTAGCATTGACCATTTAATGTCGGAAAATTTCTAACTAATTTAACTAAGTGGATAATAGGGGAAGTGGATGAGCGACAGACCTGAATCAAATCCCACAGTATGGGACCATGTGTCAATGCTGTACGCCACATATCAAAGGCTGTGATAAGTAGTTTGCTGAGAAAACTGTTACGAAAATTTCCTACCATTGACCATTAATGTCAAAAAATCTAACTAATTTAACTAAGTGGATAAACAGGAAGTGGATGAGCGACAGACCTGAAATCAAATCCCACGGTATGTGACAATATGTCAATGCTGTATGCCAAATATCAAGAGACTGTGATAAGTAGTTGCTGAGAAAACTGTTACAAAAATTTCCTAGCATTGACCATTAATGTCGAAAAATCTAACTAATTTAACTAAGTGGATAAACAGGAAGTGGATGAGCGACAGACCTGAAATCGAATCCTACGGTATGGGACCATGTGTCAATGCTGTATGCCAAATATCAAGAGGCTGTGTTAAGTAGTTGCTGAGAAAACTGTTACGAAAATTTCCTACCATTGACCAATTATGTTTAAAAATCTAACTAATTTAACTAAGTGGATAAACAGGAAGTGGATGAGCGACAGACCTGGAATCGAATCCCACGGTATGGGACCATGTGTCAATGCTGTATGCCATATATCAAGAGGCTGTGATAAGTAGTTGCTGAGAAAACTGTTACGAAAGTTTTTTTCCCCGCCCGCCGCCCGCCCGGACGCCCGCCCGCCGCCCAACATTCACCATACTATAACCCGGGTTTGCACCAGTGCAACCCGGCCAAAAATCAATTATGTATAATTATGTATTAAGTTATAGTAAAAAAATAACATTTGTTAACATAAATTCCAAGATCAAGGGGAATAATTCTAGAAATAGTCATGCTAGAGTTATGGACCTTGCCACACAACATTTGTGTAATGATAAGAAATATATATTTGAAATTTGAAGTAGATAGATTAAAAAATAAAGAAGTTATTATATTTCTTAAAGAAAATCCTAAGTTAAAAAGAGAGATAAATCTGTTAATATTGCTTCAAAGAGTATGAACATTGTCACATAAAATGTAATTGATATTTGATAAGGAATAGTATTTTGAAGTTTTGAGGTAGATACCTTTTAAAAATAAAAAAGTTAAAATAAAAAATAACATTTTCTAGTAAATAAATCTAAGTTTATGGGAGATATTCTTGCAATATTGGTGCTAGAGTTATGAACCTTGTCACATAAGATGTGGATGATGAAACGTAAATATATTTGAAGTATGAAGTTGATCCCTTTAGAAATAAATAAGTTACAGTAAAAAATAATATTTTGTATGGAAAATTCTAAGTTCAAAGGGAGATAAATCTGAAAATATTGGTGCTAGAGTTATGAACCTTGTCACATTAGATGGGGATGATGATAACGTAAATATATTTGAAGTATGAGGTTGATCCCTTAAGAAATAAAGAAGAAACAGTAAACAAGAGGGCCATGATGGCCCTGAAGTCGCTCACCTGTATATAGGCCCCCAGGGCGGGGCCAGTTTAAACCCCAGGGCTTTTATTTGAACAAACTTGGTAGACACCCATTAGAAGATATTTCAGGCTAAACATCTAAGGACTAGCTTGTTGAGTTTTTTAAAAAAAGATTTTTTAAGTTTTAAATATACACATATAGTTAAAAGTATTGACACCCCTAGGGCGGGGCCAGTTTTGACCCCAGGGCTTTTATTTGAACAAACTTTGGAGACACTCACTAGAAGATGTTTCATGCTTGATATCTAAACTCTAGCTATTCTGTTTTTTTTAAAGAAGATTTTTAAGTTTTTGCTATACATATATATGGAAAATCAATGTCCCCCGGGGCAGGGCCAATTTTGACCCTAGGGCTTTATTTGAACAAACTTTGAAGACACTAACTGGAAGATGTTTCATGCTAAATATCTTAACTCTAGTTTTTTGGGTTTTTTCAAAGAAGATTTTATAAGTTTTTGCTATACACATAAATAAAATCAATGACCCCCTGGGGCAGGGCCAATTTTGACCCAAGGGCTTTTATTTGAAAAAACTTTGTAGACACTCACTAAAAGATGTTTCATGCTTAGTATCTAAACTCTAGCTATTTGTTTTTTTTAAAGAATTTTTAATTTAAAGTTTTTACTTTACACATATATGGAAAATCAATGACCCCCGGGGCAAGGCAAATTTTGACCCCAGGGCTCTTATTTGAACAAATTTGGTAGACACCCATTAGGACATGGTTCATGCTTAATATCTTAGCTCTAGCTCTTTGGGTTCTTTAAAAGAAGATTTTATAAGTTTTTACTATATGCATATAGGGAAAATCAATGACCCCCTGGGGCGGGGCCAATTTTGACCCCAGGGCTTTTATTTGAACAAACTTGATAGACACCTATTAAAAGATGTTTCATGCTAAATATCTTAGCTTTAGCTCTTTGGGTTCTTTAAAAGAAGATTTTATAAGTTTTACTATATGCATTTAGGGAAAATCAATGACCCCCGGGGGGACCAATTTTGACCCCAGGGCTTTTATTTGAACAAACTTGGTAGACACTCATAAGAACATGTTTCATGCTAAATATCTTAGCTCTAGCTCTTTGGGTTCTTTAAAAGAAGATTTTATAAGTTTTTACTATATGCATATAGGGAAAATCAATGACCCCCTGGGGCGGGGCCAATTTTGACCCCAGGGCTTTTATTTGAACAAACTTGGTAGACACCCATTAGAAGATGTTTCATGCTAAATATCTTAGCTCTAGCTCTATGGGTTCTCTAAAAGAAGATTTTTTAAGTTTTTACTATATGCATATAGGGAAAATCAATGACCCCCGGAGCACGCCAATTTTGACCCCAGGGCTTTTATTTGAACAAACTTTGTAGACACCCATTAGAACATGTTTCATGCTAAATATCTTAGCTCTAGCTCTTTGAGTTCTTTAAAAGAAGATTTTTAAGTTTTTACTATATGCATATAGGGAAAATCAATGACCCCCTGGGGCGGGGCCAATTTTGACCCCAGGGCTTTTATTTGAACAAACTTGATAGACACTCACTAGAAGATGTTTTATGCCAAATATCTAAGCTCTACCTATTTGGGTTTTTTAAAAGAAGATATTTTAAGTTTTTTCTATTGGTTGCCATGGCAACCAGAGTTCTGCATGGAATTAAATTCTTTGAACAATTTTTAAAGGTAACCACCAAAGGAACATTCCTGTGAAGTTTGGATGAAATTGGCTCAGCGGTTTATGAGGAGATGTCATTTAAAGTAAAAGTTTACGGACGCCGGACGGACGGACGCCGGACGCCGGACGAAAAGCGATCACAAAAGCTCACCCTGTCACTTTGTGACAGGTGAGCTAAAAATAGTATTTTTTGAGGAAAATTCTAAGTTCAAGGGGAGATAAATCTGAAAATATTGGTGCTAGAGTTATGAACCTTGTCACATAAGATGGGGATGATGATAAGGTACATATATCTGAAGTATGAGGTTGATCCCTTAAGAAATAAAGAAGAAACAGTAAGAAATAGTATTTTTTGAGGAAAATTCTAAGTTCAAGGGGAGATAAATCTAAAAATATTGGTGCTAGAGTTATGAACTTTGTCACATAAGATGGGGATGATGATAAGGTACATATATTTGAAGTATGAGGTTGATCCCTTAAGAAATAAAGAAGTATCAGTAAAAAATAGTATTTTTTAAGGAAAATTCTAAGTTCAAGGGGAGATAAATCTGAAAATATTGGTGCTAGAGTTATGAACCTTATCACATAAGATGTGGTTGATGATAAGGAACGTATATTTGAAGTTTGAAGTTTATACCTAAAGAAATTAAAAAGTTGTAGTGAAAAATATTCACTGCACCAAAACTTAAAGCGGACGCCAACGCCGAGGCGAGTAGGACAACTCTCCATATACTTCCTATAGTCGAGCTAAAAATGAATTAACATATAAGCTGCATCCTTGAAAAATTTATCTTTTTTGCCTATTGTCTGGAAAATATGGTATTCATTTTCCTCTGAGCTACCAAATGGCAAAAATTATAATTTACCTCTCGTTCAGTTTGGTCTGTATGTTTGACTGTACCAAACACTTGGTCCAACATCTTGTTCACAAAATCTTTCTTTGTTGATTTTCTCATCACAATTCCAATACATTTGTACAGAAAATTCTAAATTATACAAAATAACAGAAAAATCATACAGTAATAGCCCAAAATAAATTTGTTCTTCACTAATTAATTTTTAATAAGTCTTGACAAAAGTGGATTATAACAAAGAATCTTCAATAAAATATCAGGCACAAAAAAAAATTCCCATTTAAGACAGGGGGATGACAAATACATAAATTGTCTACATCTTACCTGCTGAAAATACATTTGAATTAACTGTTTTTAAAATATTTACATGTAGTAAAAAAAATTAAAGATCCTAAAGCCATTTTGTGTGTGTGTCAACAGTCCTTAGTCTAATAAAAAAAACAGAGCCCTGAATGACTGAAAACATCATAGACCATATAAAGGAAAGAAAGACTGAAGTTATCACATGAAAACAGAATACAAATCTCAGTTTTGGTTAATTTGATTGTTTGAAATCAAGCTTAACTAGAGCATATGTTAGACAGAAATTTAAAGCCTATAGATAACCTGTAGGAACCATATACATACTTGTATCAAGGGTTGACTGCAAACTGTTGTAAATTCTTCCTTTTTTCATATAAATTACCGCAGCTTTGTGTTCAATTCTTGATAAACAAGCAATCCATAAGTCCTCTACCGGTTAGAACCCCAGCAACATTCTGATGGGCCATTGGCCATTCAATTTTACCAGTGAATGAATGACATGAATGAATTTAAATCTTTAAAATTCTAAGTTTGTCTATATCACAGTAATGTGTTAAGTTTCCCTGCCTAGTAAGGAAATTATGTTTATACAACCTTGTCATATTATTACGATGTGGGATTTTAAAGTAAATCCTATAAGGAATGAAGAAGTTGGAGTGAAAAATACCAATTTCTCGAAAAAAATCTAAGTTCAAGGGGGACATAATTCTGGAAATAGTCTTGCTAGAGTATTTAACCTTCTCAAAAATGTTGAGTGATAATAAGAAACATATATATGAAGTTTGAAGTAGATACATTAGGAAATAAAGAAGTTATTTAAACAAGAGGGCCATGATGGCCCTGAGGTCGCTCACCTGTATATAGGCCCCCCAACGTTGCAGGGCCAATTTAACCCAAGGGCTTTTATTTGCACAAACTTGGTAGACACCCATAAGAAGATGTTTCATGCTAAACATCTAAGCTCTAGCTCATTGGGCTTTTTAAAAGAAGATTTTTTTTTAGTTTTTACTATACACATATAGTTAAAAACAATGACACCCCTGGGGCCGGGCCAGTTTTGACCCCAGGGCTTTTATTTGAACAAACTTTGTAGACACTTACTAGAAGATGTTTCATGCTTAATATCTTAACTCTAGCTATTTGGGTTTTTTTCAAAGAAGATTTTTTAAGTTTTTGCTATACACATATAAGGAAAATCAATGACCCCCGGGGCGGGGCCAATTTTGACCCCAGGTCTTTTATTTGAACAAAGTTTGTAGACTGTGACTCACTAAAAGATGTTTCATGCTTAATATCTTAACTCTAGCTATTTGGGTTTTTTCAAAGAAGATTTTTTAAGTTTTTGCTATACACATATAAGGAAAATCAATGACCCCCAGGGTGGTGCCAATTTTGACCCCAGGGCTTTATTTGAACAAACTTGGAAGACACCTATTAGAACATGTTTGATGCTAAATATCTTAGCCATAGCTCTTTGAGTTCTTTAAAAGAAGATTTTTTAAGTTTTTAATATATGCATATAGGGAAAATCAATGATCCCCCGGGGCGGGGCCAATTTTGACTCCAGGGCTTTTATTTGAACAAACTTGGTAGACACTTATTAAAACATGTTTCATGCTAAATATCTTAGCTTTAACTCTTTTGGTTCTTTAAAAGAAGATTTTTTAAGTTTTTACTATATGCATATAGGGAAAATCAATGACCCCCTGGGGTGGGGCCAATTTTGACCCCAGGGCTTTTATTTGAACAAACTTGGTAGACACCTATTAGAACATGTTTGATGCTCAATATCTTAGCCATAGCTCTTTGAGTTCTTTAAAAGAAGATTTCTTAAGTTTTTACAATATGCATATAGGAAAAATCAATGACCCCCGGGGCGGGGCCAATTTTGACCCCAGGGCTTTTATTTGAACAAACTTGGTAGACACTTATTAGAACATGTTTCATGCTAAAAATCTTAGCTCTAGCTCTTTTGGTTCTTTTAAAGAAGATTTTTAAGTTTTACTATATGCATATTGGGAAAATCAATGACCCCCCCGGGGCAGGGCCAATTTTGACCCCAGGGCTTTTATTTGAACAAACTTGGTAGACACTTATTAGAACATGTTTCATGCTTAATATCTTAGCTTTAACTCTTTCGGTTCTTTAAAAGAAGATTTTTTAAGTTTTTACTATATGCATATAGGGAAAATCAATGACCCCCCTGGGGCGGGGCCAATTTTGACCCCAGGGCTTTTATTTAAACAAACTTGGTAGACACCTATAAGAACATGTTTGATGCTAAATATCTTAGCCATAGCTCTTTGAGTTCTTTAAAAGTAGATTTTTTAAGTTTTTACTATATGTATATAGGGAAAATCAATGACCCCCAGGGGCGGGGCCAATTTTGACCCAAGGGCTTTTATTTGAACAAACTTGGTAGACACCCATTAGAACATGTTTCATGCTTAATATCTTAGCTTTAACTCTTTCGGTTCTTTAAAAGAAGATTTTTAAGTTTTTACTATATGCATATAGGGAAAATCAATGACCCCCCTGGGGCGGGGCCAATTTTGACCCCAGGGCTTTTATTTAAACAAACTTGGTAGACACCTATAAGAACATGTTTGATGCTAAATATCTTAGCCATAGCTCTTTGAGTTCTTTAAAAGTAGATTTTTTAAGTTTTTACTATATGCATATAGGGAAAATCAATGACCCCCCGGGGCGGGGCCAATTTTGACCCCAGGGCTTTTATTTGAACAAACTTGGTAGACATCCATTAGAACATGTTTCATGCTAAATATCTTAGCTCTAGCTCTTTTGGTTCTTTAAAAGAAGATTTTTTAAGTTTTTACTATATGTATATAGGGAAAATCAATGACCCCCCGGGGCGGGGCCAATTTTGACCCCAGGGCTTTTATTTGAACAAACTTGGTAGACACTCACTAGAAGATGTTTCATGCCAAATATCTAAGCTCTAGCTCTTATGGTTTTTTAAAAGAAGATATTTAAAGTTTTTTCTTTCGGTTGCCATGGCAACCAGAGTTCTGCATGGAATTAAATTCTTTGAACAATTTTTAAAGGTGACCACCAAAGGAACATTCCTGTGAAGTTTGGATGAAATTGGCTTAGTGGTTTATGAGGAGATGTCATTTAAAGTAAAAGTTTACGGACGGACGGACGGACGGACGTACCAAAATTTGATGTTTATGAGGCAAATGAGCTCATAAACACCACCTGGACCAACGTCCATAAGCAAAATAAGCTCATAAAAACAAAAAATAGCTCTTAATTTTAAATTTTATGAGTTTATGTTCTTTATTTAACTACGGAATGAAGCTCATAATAATCAAATGTTGGCTCGGACGGACGGACGACGGACGGACGCCGGACGAAAAGCGATCACAAAAGCTCACCCTGTCACTTTGTGACAGGTGAGCTAAAAAGACAACATTTTTTTTCATAAAAATTCTAAGTTCAAGGGAGGTAATACTCATAATTTTTGTGCTACAGTTGTAAACCTTGTCACTTATGATGTGGTTGATGACCAGAAACTTATATTTAAATATTGATGTAAACACCTTAAGAAATAAAGAACTTATAGTGAAAAAGCTGAAAAAATTAAATCAGAAATCTTGAAATTCAGGCTATTTGTTGCCATAGCAACAAGAATTTTCAACATAGGAAGAAAAGAAAAAGATGTGCATAATCTCCAGACTGCCATCTACCCATATTTCAAGTTTCATAAAAATATTTTCAGTACTTTTTGAGTTATCACTGGATCCAGTTAATGTGTTAAATTTGCCATATTTTCAGACTATTTGTTGCCATAGCAACCAGAATTTTCAAACATAGGAAGAAAAAAAAAAGACGTGCATAATCTCCATACTGCCATCTATCCATATATCAAGTTTCATAAAAATATTTTCAGTACTTTTTGCGTTATCGCGGGATCCAGTTTTGTGGACGGACGGACTGACGGACGGACAGACAGATGGACAGACGGACAGACAGACAGACGGACGTTCTTACATTTGTATTCTTGTTGGGTATTTTACTGTGTAAAAAGGGTACCCAACACTCAAAGAAAATACCCAACAATACATACGGAGTGAGTAGGATTGGTAGTTGTTGGGTATTCAGTACCCAACATATACCCTCTCGTGAGTGCGGACAGACGGACGGAGGGTAAACCTAAAGTCCCCTCTGGTTAAACCGGTAGGGGACTAATAAAGTAGCATAAACACATGTCCTCACCTTTTCCTCAGAGTATCTGTTATACATAGGTATTTGATTTGCAAGAGCCTCCCCAAACTCTGCTATCCATTCTTCATGATCAACTACATCAAGAGACTTAGATAACATCTTCAGCAGTAGATCCTCCCAGTTCTTCTGAGACCACTCCTCCTGTTTGTCAGGATCTATTTATAGAATAAGACTTTTGTTTATAGAACTACAGTCGAGACTGTCATATGTGACTTTCCAAGGGACCTTAAAAAAGAGGTCACATATGACAGGGAGTCTCTTAATACAGTCGCAAAGAAGATTAAAATTTTTAAACCATCTATATACCATTGTGACTTAACATACATAACTGTGTGTAGGAATAATATCTATCCAATAGCAATTAAACATATTAAGTATTTGATGTAAATAAAATAAGACTGTATAACATATAAAATTAAACGAACAATTAAAAGGTGTGAAAGTCGTTTAAATCAAAGAAGTGCATTTGGACCAGACAATTAGGGTCGCTCGTCACACATGACAAGGAGTCATATAATTCAGACCATTTATGTAGCAAAATATGTTGGGAAGGACTGAAACAAGGTCGGATGAGACAGAGGTTTGTTAAAAATAAGGCAGTTAGGCAGACTGCTCAGGCAGTCTCAACTGTATATATTTATTTATATAAAAAAAAAGAGTTTTATTAATAAAATTAGATTTGAATACACATTATGTCTATAGCAAGACTTAGCATCTACTCAAAACAATTCATAATGGTTACTATCTACATAAAGTTAACTATTTGTAGAATGCCTGTACAGATGAACAAAAAATGTTGAAAATATAATAAATGTAATGAATTAACTGTTGTTTTCCTAGGAATTTCTGAGTTTATCAAAGTATTTCATATTAACTGATGAATGGCTTTGATAGATTTACATGACAATACACATGTGATGTAACCTTTGTTTGAAATCTAAAACTCTAAAGTAACATTAATCATCACTGAAATTCAATTCAACAATCATCAATATATATATTATTTACCTTCTAGGTATTGAACTAATTTTGGGATGACTGTGTCCCATAGTTCAACAAGGTTGTCATGGAGATTAGGGGATAGTCCTTTCATGAGGTTTAAAACATGAACACCTCTCTGTCTCCCATTCTGGGGTCTTCCTGCTAATGTCTGAAACATAACATAACACAAACATTGTATACCACAAACATGACATAACTTAGACAAAACATAACATAACACAAACATAGTATAACATAAACATGAGACATAACTCAAACAAAACATAACATAACACAAACATAGTATAACATAAACATGACATAACACGGACAAAACATAACATAACACAAACATAGTATAACATAAACATGACATAACTATAACAAAATATAACACAGTATAACATAAACATGGCACAGCCCAAACAAAACATGACATAACACAAACATAGTATACCATAAACATGACATAACTCAGACAAAACATAACATTACACAAACAAAGTATAAAACATAAAAAAGACATAACTCAAACAAAACATAACATAACACAAAAATGATATCACAAACAAAACATGGCTCAAATAATATATAACAATATCATATAAAAACACACACAACACAAAAATTATATAACTCAAGCAAAATATAACTGAAAAATTACATAACATAAACACAACATAACTCTAGCATACTTTAACACAAGCATTACATGACAAAAACATTACCTAACTCAAACAAAACATATCACAAACTTAACATAATATGTATCATGCTTTATTATATCCATTAATTGTTTTAGGCATATAAATACTTGACAAAAAACATAATTCTGATAACATTAAACATGCCATTAGAGACCAGAAATTAAAGCAGAACATGTATTTTATCTTTCAGTGAAATGTTTGGAAAGCAAGGTTACCGAGACTGTTTGATAAAAAGAAATTATGAAAATTATATTTGGAAGTAAAACTGAGATTAAAGGCATGCAAACACACATGCAACACACACACAAATAAGAATTAATTTTACTTACAACAAGTCTGGCTATCACAGCAGCTGGTTTGGGTAAGTTAGCTAGAAATATAGATAAACTTACAATCAACATTATGTAAAAATATGCATAAAAATTAGGAATATTCACATGAACATCAGTTATGAACAGAAAAATTGATAAAAAAATTGTCAACAATTTGCCAGAATAGGTTAACCATACAAAGCCCCATTTTCAAAGTCATAAAAAGAAAAATAACTGGAAACAAGGGCAACATTGTCGCTAAATACAGCCGTCAAAAAAGCTTTTGACAGAGATATGGGTATTATAGTACTGCATATAGGAGATATGCTTTGGGCACTATCCGGACATTATCTGGATATTTTATCATCTCTAGTGACCTTGACCTTGCAAATATTAACCTTAATTACATGTGTCACACTTTCAGGCATGATAGTTATCATTTGTTTTACAATCAATCAATAAATGATGACTAAATGGTCCCTGTACACATCTTCTGTTTTAAAATGGTCCCAGTACACATCTTCTGTTTTATCTTAACTTTGACCTCTCTATGTGACCTTGACTTCGTTAGCATGGACCTGGATTATGCGGCAATACTTAGCCTCAAAATGTTGAAAATTTGTGCCTATATCATCAAAATCCCTCAATGAATATAGAAGTTTTGCTCTAAACAAGCATTTTTCAATAACCTCTAAGTGTGACCTTAACCGCTATTCATGCATGTGACACTGCTTCTCATAGTGGTGAAGACTTCAATCCCTCAATAAATGATGACTTAATGGTCCAAATACACATTTTCATTGAACTTTGACCCCTATGTGTAACCTTCACCTTGGCAGCAGGGACCAAATTTTTGCAAGCGCCATTCCGCCTCACTTTGTTAAACATTTATGCTAAGTTATATTGAAATCGCTCCATACATGTTGAAGTTTTGTTCCAGACAAGCGTTTTTCAATGTCCTTTAAGTGTGACCTTGACCTTTGACTTAGAGACCTCGTTCATGTGTGTGACACAGCTTCTCATAGTGGTGAACATTTCTATGAAGACTCATTAGAATTTCTCTATGCATGTAGAGTATGCTCCGCACAAAATCTCTTATATTTTATCACCTTTAGTGGCCTTGACCTTGCATATATTAACCTTAATTGCATGTTTCAACACCATAGTCATGATAATGATCATTTGTGTTTCAATCCCTCAATAAATGATGACTAAATGGTCCAAATACATATTTTCATCTAAACCTTGACCCCTATGTGTGACCTTGACTTTGGCCCGAGGAACCTTAATTTTGCACGCCACACTGGGCCTCACAATGGTGAACATTTGTGCCAAGTTATATTGAAATCCCTCAGTGCATGTTTAAGTTTTGCTCCGGACAAACGTTTTTCAATGTCCTCTTAGTTTGCCCTTGACCTTTAACCTAAAAGGTCAATAAAAGTGCAGTGCATGGGGAAACTAAAATACAACCTGTTTTTCAAACCAGCGTATAAATATAGATGGCACAGTTATATAACTTGGCAATATCATGTACTTTGTATTGATCAGTAAGTGTAGAAATTATGAAGCCATTAGTATAGATCATCTAAGGACTTGAAATTCATCCAACTTGACAGTATAGGTTAACCATAACTATTTTAAACATATCTATTTTCAAAAAAAACATATCTATTTTCAAAGTCCTAAAATAGGGAAATAACTTTGAAAACAAGAGCTGTCAGAAGGACAGTTTACTTGACAAGAGCCTGGAAAGCATAGAATTTTCTAAGTATAAAGGTCTATAATTCTGTCAAAACCATGCAAGAGTTATGGACCTTGGATAGTAACCTCCTTTTATGCTCTCAAATTAGTGTCAAGTTTCAAACCGTTCCCATTTTGTAGTTTTGGAGATACCAACTTGCAAACAAAATCTAAAACCAAAAATGTGACGGTGATGGCAACGCCATTGCCTGCGTGTGTATTATAGCTCTCCTTATTTAATGAGCTAAAAATAAAAACCATTATGATGTAACCAAGATCATGTACTTGGTGTTGAAAAGTGTGTAAATGATGAAGCCAGTGGTACAGGTAGTAGGAATAGGTAAACTTTGTATGGACACGGTCAGACAGACTGTTCAATAACCTCTATATGACTGGAGGCATAAAAACACAATAGAACATAACTAAACAAAGCGAAATTTCAAGTAAAAATGAGGAAATTATTTAGATGCATGAAAAATTACATCCAAAAAATCACTGCAAACACATAGGTAAGACAGCCCAACTTTTTTATTTAAGCAGTTATGTTACCTTGAGTCTCATAATCAAGGTCATAATCTTCAGCATTTTCCTCCCTCTTCTTGTTAGCAATAGTTGCTAGGCAACGACATACTACCCCAGCAGCCTCAGTATACTTCTCTGGTACCACCAACTCTAACAAGTATGGCCATAAAACCTGAGCAAATAACATTTTGATAAAAGTAAAATATTTTTATTTAAGGCTTATTACAGATCAATCACATTCATTTCCTTCTTATCAAGCATTTTGAATCTGTAAGAACAGGAAATAAAACCACAATAATTATTATATTGTTGTTTATATCTTTATAATCATGAACTGCATGATTTACCTGACATTATCCAACATTCTATTGATATATGTCAATCATTTAACATTGGTACAATCATGCAGGATACATTGCCAAATATATGAACGTCCTGATGACGAATTAAACATCAGCAGTATCAATTATATTGATTAACCAGTGGAATAAATAATAAAAGAGCATCCACATCTACCAATTGACCTTCAGAGAACAGGACATTCCAGCATAATGTCAGCAATCCGCTTACAAAATAGTAACATGTGATGATCTAACAAAAGATGATATTGATGATGTGATATTGCCTAAAAACTGGCCTATGAACTACATCAGTTCATAAGATTATCTCCAATGAACTGTGTACAAGTATGTCAGAAGCAAGTACTGGCTTGGTTTCTTGTGTACTAACAACAACAGAATCAATGAGTCACCGACAGTATGGCTTTCCTTAAGGTAGTGTTACTGTCATGCTTTTCCGCCAAAAAAAAACATCGGCCAATATCATAGCAAATCGGTTATTTCCGTAACGTTATTTATTCAAAATCATCAGCATTAAATTATTTTCAATCACTCAACCTTCATTGCTGTGTACTAAATTCTGGTTATAAACGGTTAAAAATTATTCAGTACCGAAGATTGTGAAAAATAATGTTCCGGAAATGGCCGATTTATTACGATATAATTATGCCAATGTCGGACTTTTGGCGGGAAAGCATTACAGTAAGATTACCTTAAGCAGAACAGAGAATCTAGTGATCTGTTTTTGGAAGCTGATGATAATAAAGTTGAGTTTACCAAAGTGCTCTGCTTACATTAACCTTATGTTGTTATGCTGATGAAAATTTAAATATGGATATGGTACAAACATTTTCATTTATCTTTTAATATACTTTTTACAATAGTTTTTTTTCAAATACAAAAATGTATCATCCAAAATATTGATAAGTAAAAACTCGTATATCTCTCTGTTCATTCTTTATATAACATAACATAACATGAATTTATTGCATATTCTTTATATACTCAACAATGCTTGAATAATGCTAACAAAACATGAATTAGTGGCGGCATGGCCGAGTGGTTAACGCGTCGGACTAGTAATCTAATGATCGCTAGCCGTATGGGTTCAAACCCCGTCAGGGGCAAGTCGTTGTTTCCTTGAGCAAGAAACTTTACACTCATTGCTCAGTACTGGTTGGTTCCAGGAACGGATTCGAAGGTGTGTCTATAAGCTTATAGCTTCCTACACAATCGAACTAAAATAAATTCTGTATAAACCAAAACATGAATACTTACATTTTCCATTTGTTCAACAGTATTAGTAAGTAACTGTAATACATGATCACACATCATACGTAACTGGACATTGGTCACATGATCTGGATCTGGTGACCTCTTTGCACCCTGTAAAAATGTAACTTCTTTATTAATACAACTAGATAAATTGTTAACAAGCAAAGAATTCCTGATGGCTAAAATGTTTGCACTGACGTACTTAATAAATAAGTTATAAAGATTTTAAACATGTTATTCTATTCAAGATAACCAGCATATTTTACTTAAGAATACAATCTTTTATTTCCTTTCAAAGTTATATATTTAGAAAACAGATTATAATATTTGAGTACATTGCATATAATATTGCACATTTATGTTTAGATGCACAGTAATATTGGATATTGGCCTTTATGATCAATGGGCCTTGGCTAACCATTCGAACAAAGAGCCATTACAGTGGAGCCTTGCTAATCCGAACCCTTCTAATCCGGAATCCTTTCTTATCCGAACGAAGTTTCCAGTCCCGATTTTATTCGTTCTATTTTCAATAGTAAAAAACCTTTCGGATCCGGAACCTGTCTACTCCGAATTCCGGACGATTTTTTCAATTTTTTTTCTTATTTTACTCTAAAATTTACCTCTCGGATCCGAACAGATTTTGCCAAATGTCACACCTTCATTCAAAATAACAAATAATCGCACATATTACAGGACAAACATACACCAAACTGATAGGTGTTATTTCACTTGATTAATGGGTGAAACGTATGATCTGCGAAGGTGTGAAAATTACACTTAGCTTGCCTTGATATCTTCTATAATTGCTTTATTGATTGTTTTTTGTCAGCTTCTATAAATAGTTTGATATAATGCAATAGAATTATCTTTTAATCCTTTGTATAGGATTTAATGATACGTGATAAAGTAATGGAAATTAATGAAAACTGTCAGTGAATTCGGATAGTCGCTGAATCGGATACGAGTAAACAACAGTTGACAAATGCTGGTACGAATATCAAATCATGTCTCGGCCTTCTGTTTAACATCGTAGGTTAACTTACCCTTGAGGACATAATATTTTTGCTTATTGATTTATTTTTTATTTCTTTATTTTTGTATTCACATGTACATGTATTAAAATGAACAATAAGAGACTGCAAAAATTAAATATCTAAATTGCAATTTCAAATGCATTCCCGTTTTCTTTCCTTAAACTATTTTGCAAATAACATGAAAAAACATGTTAAAAAACCTCCTAATTCGGAAACCTTTCTAATCCGGAAACCTTTCTAATCCGAACTTTTCTTCTGGTCCGGACGAGTTCGGATTAGACAGGTTCCACTGTATTAATGTTATACTCCCACTGTCCACAGTTCATTACATGCTTTTAGTATCAATCACATACATGTATAATAATCAAATTCATATAAATCCCACTGTCCACAGTTCATTATATGCTTTTAGTATCAATCACATATATAATAATCAAATTCATATAAATCCCACTGTCCACAATTCATTATATGCTTTTAGTATTAATCACATATATAATAATCAAATTCATATAAAGTATTATGATATTTGATTAAATACAGAACAAGAAATATTCAATTATATTCACGTACAATTTACACAAACATACATTCAAGTTCAAAATTCCATTTGGTAATACAGTATTATCAGACATACTATTATTGGCAAAATCTAAACACTTTTAACCGTTAAAAACCACCAAAATAATTGTGAGAAGACTTACTGGAGGATCAGCTGGTAGTGAACATTGTGTTACTATAAACTCTATCATCTGAGTTCCACCTTCTAATTCCATGTAATTATGGTGACCCATTGCTATAACAACTTGAGCAAACACTTTCTTCACCTTCATTTATAAATCATTAATAAAAACAAAGTTTTTAAATAGGTGGTCTTAAAAATATTTCATCTTTAAACAGATCAAAGGTTCAAGTTGTATAAGATTGCAAAAGAGTGGTAAACAAATAAAGGGGAATTTACAGGTTATGATAATTCTTTTAAAAGTGTCCACATAGAAAATAGAGTGTAAATTTAATTCTAACTTTATTGAACAAGTTAAATAAAATCATATTATGCAAGCCTCTATATACCTTGTTACTATTTTCCTGTGTAATACCTTTCAACCCCGACAACACTACTTCCTTCTTGTCTTCCATAGATGGGGCTTAAAAATTATATAATAGTTATAATTCTTTGAGATATTTATATCATTTTATATCAACAAGAGGCCCGTATGGGTTAAACGTCATTCAGTGATAAATGAAGTTTCTTTTAAACCATGTGGGTGATATGAATTGATTTACATTTAAAATGCACCTTGATCACATAAAAATATGTTTTTATTGTAAAAAAAATAAACTTACAAGAAAAGTCTGGGTGAATCTAAGTTATCTATGTCGTAATCTTACCATTCTCTTGCGTAGTGTATCGATGAAGGACACTGTGTTTACACAATAACTGTGATTGCAATTTTTGTGCTAAGTAACTAACTAACTGTAATGATTTTAAGTCTTATTCAAATCTCAAGATGGAAGGTGATTATTTTAACATGGCTAGCCAGTCTGGTGTGGCTTCCTTGGTGTGAGATTGATTACCTTTAAACTGTTTTCTGAATTTGAATGACGATGATGAGAGAACTTTAGATTTAGTGACTGAAGTGAATGGAGATTATTTCACAGTTCCATTGTTGTCCTGTGACAATGAATAAGAGAATAATAGTAGTGATGATGACATAGGAATTCAGTGGGATAGCATAGATAAAAGTTATTTCCCAGAAGTTGTGGCTGTTTAAATTTGTATGGTAGGTCTATTTTTAGATTCATTGACTTCATTTATCACTGAATGACTTTCCACCCTTAAGGGCCGTTTTGCTTATAGCTGGTCACAATTATTGTGTTTAAAAATAGAAGATAATTATCTGAATTCAACACTACTGTCAATGTTGTTTACAGTCGTGTACCACATATAGGTAACTCACAGCTTTGATTCAATACTTCACTTCTCAAACTATAATGAAAATTCAATATATAAATCATTCTAAGGATAAAGAAACATAGCATAATCTCAGGAATCTATCCTTAAACATCACAATCTTGAGCTAAACATGCTGATCAACTCAGTTTGATAGTTTAATTAGAAAGTTCAGTCATGAACGTATAGGCTGACCATCATGTAACATAACTAGTGTTTCTAGACTCTATACAAGAACAATGTTAACATGATTACTATGTTCTTCCTTTTTCTTTTAACGAAACTGTGTGTACAAAAGTAAACAACATCATTTGTTCTTCACAGGTATAAATAGAGCTGCAAGTACAATGTTAACAGTATGTCTTCCCAGGTACAACTGTAGCTGCAAACTTCATCATATAAAATTAATTTCAATATGATTTTTCAGAAACAGCCATTTATCTGTACAAACAAATTAAGCATGAAGGCAGATGGACAATTTAAAATCAGCTTACCTGCTGCATTGATAAGATGTTTAAATATTGTTAGTATTCCAATTTTGATTCTCTCATTGTTTTGGTCAAGTTTCTGCAACAGAATACCAGTCAACTTTCCAGAGAATGACCTGGCTGAAATTATATATTAGTATATATAATTATATATAACTTGATAGGATTATTGGCATTGTCTTGGTCAGTAAATATGTAAAGTTTAAAA